TGTTGCAGATGTGTCCTCTCAAGAAGCTCCATGTTGGAGAAAATAAACTACAATGATGCCTCGTTGTTAGTGTGTTAAGCTGGCATGCTGCCTCAGCCCCGTTACCTCAGCTGCCATTGTCACTGGCCGGAAAACTGGGGTAGTGATGACCATATACTGAGCCAATGACGACAGTGTGGCTTGTTCTCAGTCAGCTGTGTTGGTTAGTGAATTAACGATAAATGGTTTTGGTCTGATATCGCACAAAAAGGCCGTACCTCAAGATTCATTTTAGGTTCCTTTTTAGGGTAATGAAGGGTACACTGTACTGGATGTGTGTTGGAATATGTGGATCGTTTCCCATCTGTTTTATTGTTCATTTAATGGAAGACGTCATGTCAGCAGAATGTTTTTATCTACCCAAAAACACAAAGAAAGATAAAAATCAAACCCACAATTTTCCCTTTATTTAGCACCACTATGTATGTATGCATGCTGCAGCTGTGGCTTCTGCGGGGTCTGCTGATGTTTCAGAAGAAATACATTCAGACACGTGAGCTAAAGTCTTGCATACGACTAGCTTGAAAGTTGTATTTTACTCAGTTTAGGAACTTGAAACTGACATGTTTGTGCCGCATTTAGCCGAACATAACCGTACTCAGACTTGAAATACAGTATATGGAAACATGACTGATTGTCAGACTACAAGCATTTCAGCATCTCCAAATTCCAGCGGAAGAGAATTAATAATTTCGCTCTTTTCAATGTCTTCAGAAGTTAAAAAATGAAGGAATATTTCTGTCATAATACACACGTAAAGGTCCTACATACCGTTGTTTTACATGTGTTTTCACTTGATCAGCCTGACATGAAAACACCTGTAAGACTTTGCAGGGCCTTTAATTAAAAACAGTAGAGGAAGTGCTACTTTAATTCCATTGTTGTATTAGTTTTAGCCCCATTGTCATTGACTTCACTGTGATATTGTTTCTTGTGTTTATTTAGACTGGTGAGTAATATAGCTTACCTGCAACCATAGATTATCCTGAAAACAGATTTGAATTTATTCTAAGTGCAGGTAGAGAGATTAAAGTCTAGAAAAACAAATTATGAATTAAAAATGTGCAGGAAGTTGTACTGTAACGATATTTGTTTCCTCTGCTCTGTTGTTGTAACTACGGAACACCAGATTTATGGTCTTGTGCCCCTCTAGGCCTGTTCAGAGAGGTGTGAGATATCAGTGACAGAAACAAGTATTAAACTCAGAGACTGCCGAAACTCTGTGGTAGTTGTTGTCCTGTGAGGCCGGTCTCACCCCCAAGTTCATTTCATTTCATTATTCATTTTGACTGGAGCCTGATCCAGGCTGGAGTTTTGAAGCCAATATTAATATAACATTTTGAGAGTCAAAAACAAAGGATAATTAGATTATCTCCCATGTGTGCATTTAAAAAAAAAAGCAACCCTTAAAGGAATACTTCACCCCCAACATTACGATTTGCATATCAGTTACTCACCCTGTGTTACATTGTATTTGTGAAGATAAATGTGTTTTTCTAAAACGTCTCCTCAGTGACTGAAGAATCTAAAAACTGAGAAAATTCATGATGAATAGAAGCCATTGGGGTCCATGTTTAACAACAGCAAAACTATATCAAAACATCCGTTTACAAACTCTCACGCAGCTCGTGCAGTATAATCAAAGTCCCATTTATCCATTCATATGCTCAGTACATCCCAAAAAGCCATTGACGCTAGAGAACTGAAGTCATGAGTTGGAGTCACAAAACTATCACTAAGTTTAAATATCTAAAAATAATGAATGTTAATGCTTAATGATTAATGTTGGATTACTCTCTCATAATTTATGAGCCAAATCGTTGGATGGGCCAAACCTTTGGACCTTTCCCCTTGTCTTACTTTGTATTGGCTAACGTTTATGCCAATACAGCTTGAGGCAACTGGAGGCAAAAACTACCAACACTGCACAAATGCCTATCATTCTTACAGTGTTTTTTCTGGCTTTTGGGCTTTACTGGACAGGACAGATAAAGTGTGAAAGGGGGAGAAAGGGAGAGGAGATGACACACAGCAAAGGGCCGTGGTCTGAAATCGAATCTGCGGCGACTGCAGCAAAGACATTGCCTTTGTACATGGGCTGCCAGCTCTACCCACTGAGCTAACAGTTGCCCGATTCTTGCGGTTTACGGCTGTTCGAGTTAATCAAATTGGGAAAACATAAAGGCAACTTAAAGTCCTGAAAATAGGAGGATGTAAAGGGGAGAAATGGAAAAGAAAAAAAAACTCATTGAGAAACTGGCAGATGTCGATGAAAGCCTGTTTTCATTCTAGAGGAGCGGAGTCAACTAAACGTTAAACGTTACCGTTAAAGCGTTTGAGTTAAATACGCCTCAAGTTGGATGCAATTACAATTTACTGCAACAACTTCTCTGTGCTTTTGGCCATGACCCAGATTTTTAACAGCGTTCCATCAGACCTTTTAGAACACTTGACCCAGTAGTTGGCTATATTAATAGTAGCTAAAGTTAGCTAACGTTAGCAAGTAACGTTAGCCTGACCGCGGTGCATCCATGTACAGTTAGACCGTTAAATTCAAGCACATTCACTCACTTGGCCAAAAACAGCCCTTACGGTTGTTGACCCAACTGCACACAAAATAGTTACAGTTCACTGAACTCTTACACTATTTCATCTGTTCACTGTATAGCGTTAGTAACGTTAAGAGGTCTGGAGGATGAGGTCATTTGAGGCGACGATCGTGTAAACACAAGGCAAAATACAAAAATACAAATACAAAACATAAAATATTAAATATATAAACAACCAATATAGTCACAGTATAATATCAACAGAGAGAAAAAAAGCAGTTGAAGAGATGTGGGCTAACTAACCGTAGAAGATAATAAGTTGTAATATTTCATACACTGTACACATTAATTTAATGCAATGACAGTATAGTTACAGTCCAGTGCTATAAGCCACCTTTTCTCAAACACATCTTCCCTTTTCTCTATTTCCTGAGTCACTGTCTCCATGAACTTTACTTGTTGAACCATACTTTTCCATTTTATTAAATCTGGGGATTAGTTTTTTTTTTCACCCTTTGCTTATCTGTTTCAATGCTGTGATTCTCAAAGTTCTGAACAGGCATTTTTCATCTTGACAAAGAGTCGCTGGAGGTTTACCCAAAATGATATGCTGTGCTCGTAAACACAGCAGTTTTTTAATCTCTTCCATCAGCGTAAACACTTTCAACCAATATGTATTTAATACTTTACAGCATGATCTTCTTCACAGTTCCTCCATCACTGAGAGCTCGATCTCTTATATTTTGAGATAGTCTCTGGGGTCAAGAAGTATCTCACCAACATGAGTTTCAGTTTTCTGATGAAACCTGCTGCCTGCAGGTTCATCCAACCCTATATGATGTCACTTTCCTCTATTTTTGAATTCACACCATTTGGATTCTTCTTGCCCTCCATGTGAATTTTCCACGTCATTATAGTCACATGATGTCAAACAAGCCATTGTATCAGCAATGCCAATATTTTGACCCATGTCTGTTACATTTTCAAAAGGACTCAGCTTCCTACAGCTGTTGACGGAGGCCTTAGTTATAGCTTGAAATGACTTTTTCACAGTCAATTGTTACTTCAAACTGAAATGCCACTGTAAAATCTGTCCATCCATTTTCATCCATCCGGGGCCGGGTCACGGGGGCAGCAGGTGGAGCAAACCACCGATCCATCTCACGTTCTACCCTCACCTGTGAAAAAGACCCGGAGATACTTGAACTCCTTCTCTTGAGGCAGTAACTCCCTCCAAACCTGGAGGGGCCAATCCACTGGTCTCCAGCAGAGAACCACAACCTCAGATTTGGAGGTGCTGACTCTTATCCCGACCGCTTCACACTCAAACCGCCCCAGTGCCTGCTAGAGGTCACGGTGTGATGAAGCCAACAGAACCACATCATCTGCGAAAAGCATAGATGCAATTCTGAGGTCCCCAAGCTGGACCCCTTCCTTCTCCTAGCTGCACCTCGAGATCCTGTCCATGAAAATCACAAACAGGATCGGTGACAAGGGACAACCCTGGTGAAGGCCAATACCCACTGAGAACGTGTTTGACTGTACGCCGAATATACGGACGCAGCTCTCACTTTGGTCATACAGGGATTGGATGGCTCGTAGCAGCGACCCCAGTAACCTGTAGTCTCGCAGCACCCCCTACAAGACTCTTCTCCAAGTCCACAAAACACGTGTAGACTGGATGGGCGAACTCTCACGACCCTTCCAGCAGCCTCACAAGGGTAAAGAGCTGGTCCGCTGTTCCACGGCCAAGACAGAATTACTAATGCTCCTTCTGAATCTGAGGTTCGACAAGTGGCTGGTGTTGTAAAATCAAACCTGTTGAAATATATTTATGGTCCAGAGATAGTAAATCTGATTCATCACTGTGAGTCAACACTTGGAACGTCTCACTACAACCATGATTTCTACTTATTAAACACAAACCAGCAGAACTTCCTGGTCCAAACACACTCGCGGCCCCTTAACTGCCCATAGGAACACATGCCCTCTAAATATTTCCAACTCTATCAACACATGCATCACATTCACATGCTGACTCAACATCGCTGAAACATGATGCTCTCTCTGCCCCCCCCCTCCACCTCCCTCTTTCCTCTCCCTCTCTCCCATCTTTGCGAGGCTGCAATAGAAATCCCTCCTCTGTATCTATGGGAATACAAGAGAGCTGTGTGTCCTCTATCCTCCCCTCTACTCACCACCTCCCTCTCTGCATATAAGGGAACGCTGGCTGCCCCCCCCCCCCCCCCCCCCCCCCCCCCCCCCCCCCCCCCCCCCCCCCCCCCCCCACAAACACACACACACCTCCCCTCTTCTCTTAGACACACTTTCTGTCTGACACACTCTCTCAGGACTCCCCTGCGAGCCAGCGAGTGAGGCAGGTAGGTAGGTAAACTCAGCGCTGGATCAGAGTGAGACGCTGAGAGGAAGCGGAAGAGGGAGAAGGGGGGGAATGTGTGTGTGTTTGTGAGTGTGTGTGTGTGTGTTGGGAGAGTGTGTGTGAGCTGCTGCATCGCTGAGCTACAGAGACCGGAGGCGAGGAGAGCTGGAGCGTTTGTCCTTGAGACTGACTGACTGACTGACTGCAGCTGTAGAGCGGAGGACCAGCCGTCCAGCCAGTGGATGAAACTGACAGTAAGTGCTGAGCGAAAGCTGCAAGACGAGCGAAAGGGACGAAGTAGGCGCTGGTTTCTTTTAATTGCAGCAAATGGACCAGTGTGTTTTTGTTCCCGTCTGCTTAGAAACAGTCCAGTGTGGTGTTTGAATGGAAACAGAGGTGCGCACAATGTGTGTGTGTGTGTGTGTGTGTGTGTGTATGTGTATATGTGTGTGACCAGGTGAAGGTCTACTCTGCTCCCAGGTGAACTCATCTCTCAGGCTTTTTATTGGCTCCCATCGATACTTGCTTTTCAGCCTTTGTGAGACTTTGTAAGTTGCAGTTATTCAGCTATTCAGTTTGTCTGCAGCAGTGTCCACTGTCTTTGTGTGTGTGTGTGCGTGTGTGTGTGTGGCGTCAAGAAAGATGTCAGTAAACACAACATTACTGTACATCCCTACAGCCCGTCTCTCCTCGCCCTCCCTGCTTCTGTTGACAGATCGATAGTTATGCATCTATAATTGGAAGTCATCATTTATGGCGACCCTCCAAAGCGAGTCATTATCATGTGTAATCTTGCAGAAAATTACATTCTGACTGGTGTACCTTGGCGTGGCCAGGAACCAGCGGACTGCGCCGAGCCGGCTGAAGGATGACCAGAAGGTGGGGTTACTTGCAAGAGGACCCCAAAGCTTGGACAAGGGTGGTGTAGGGTGAGGGAAAGGGAAGGGCAGAGCCGTGAGGCGACGGGGCCTGCGTGGTGTCACATTTTTGCCCGAAAGCGAGGAAATCCCAGCAGTGCCCCGGTGGGTGCATCCGTGTGATCAGATGAGGAAGGACAGGAAGGAACGGATGGCGACACAGTGTGAAAGATTACAAAGAAGAAGCAGGTGATGGAATCAGAGAGAGATAGACAAGTATTGGCACTCCGTGGTGTGAGACGCTGTCGTGAGTCGAGACTGGCTCACCTGTGGAGCTGCTGACAGGATGTGTTAGGCCACGTTTAGAGGGGCGGCTCTAGATGGACGGGGCGATAGAAAGAAAGCCAGAAGGCGAATTCATAAAGCTGTGGTAGACTTTTTTTTCTTTTTTTTTTAACCCGACATGACAGGATAGCTCTTTTAGTCTCCGTGAGCGTCTGTGTTGATTTGTTTATTGTAGACATGCTGACAGTGAGCCAGAGGGCTAAATTTGCCACCTGTGGAGATAAAAGTGATATGATGAGATAGACTGCGTGCTGAGTTTGTGTGTGTGTGTGTGTGGGTGGGTATGTGAGAGTGTGTATAATAGTTCCTGACATCAGCAGTAGGTTTGTGGTGCTGACTCCCAGGATTTCATGTGTGTGTTTGGCCCGCACCAGCGGCTCCTTACCTGAGACGGGTCTGGGAACCAGGTGTGTGTCTCCGGGTGGGTATTAAGTTGTGAAAAAGCATGTGTATGAACCACAGCTGTTTAATTTTAATCTTACAGATCAAAATCTCACTGGTGGAAGGAATAAAAGTACCAGTACCAAAACATGACGTCACTTAATTACATTAAAAAGTCCCGCATTTAATATCCTACTTAGTCCAGAAGTATTAAAGGCCAGATAATTTTGAGCATCAAACACTTAATTTTTCTTTTCTTAATTTTTGGTCATTTTCTGCATCAGTTTTAGTGTAAATAGCATAACTTTGTCAAAATAATAATTAAAAAAAATCAAGTTAAATAAAAATAAATTTGAAATAATTCAATTTTGTCAAAATAAAAGTCCTCGGCTACATTCATGTTCTTATTGGGGAAGATAAATGCAGCTCGGACATGTGGAGGGAGCTCGGAGTAGAGCCGTTGCTCCTCCGCGCCGAAAGGGGTTAGTTGAGGTGGTTTGCACATCTGATCAGGATGCCTCCTGGGCGCCTCCTGTTGGAGGTGTTTCAGGCATGTCCCACTGGTAGGAGGCCCCGGGGCAGACCCAGAACACCCTGGAAGGATTATATATCTCATCTGGCCTGGGTACGCCTTGGGGTCCCCCAGGAAGAGCTGGAAAGCGTTGCTGGGCAGATGTCCGTAGTACTTTGCACAGCCCCCGCAACCCAGCCCCGGATAAGCAGTTCAAAATTGATGGATGGATAAATGCAAATGTTCTAAATATTGAGAGTGACGTGACCCCTGTTTCCCCCCCTGAAATCTATGGCTAAGTTTTTTCCGATGCTTTTGTGTCTTATTTATTACTGGGAACAACAATTTTTGTCATTGGGTTAGTATTTAGAGAGGGCACTGTAGCCAACGGGGTGCAATGCAACCAGTCGAGGCATTTGGGCACCATAAATGTGCGTCCACTAAAAGTGCTTGTTTTTGCCACTGACAGGCTCAGATTGATATTTGGTCAGTTTGTTACTGTGTCTAACCAAGTTTTGTTCAAATAGAAGTCTCACTCTGAAGCCTCACAAGTGTTGAGCTGTTGTAGAAAAACAACAACAAACAGACCAGATCAAGGGAAAGTGAAAGAAAAACATTTTATTTCTCTGTAGGGATCCTTTCCATAACATTGTCAGACACTTATACAAACAATCTGAGCCTTTCAGTGGCAAAAACAAACACATTTAGTGGACATAAATTACCCTGAAGGATTACATTGCAGCCTTTTTGAAGCTGCCGTTTGCAGCCCTCTCACTCAACACTGGACTAATTTCAAATATTGCCGTTACCATTAGTCACTTAGATTTAAAGTTTCAAAATAAAAGTACTCATTGTGCATAAAAAATAGCCCCTCTGACTGATACGATATACTTTATTAGATTGTTAATACTGATGTGTGAGTAGCATATTACTGCTGTAGCTTAGGTAGACTTGTCCAGTAGTTTCCAAGCTAAAGGGTCATAAAATAAATCTGAAGGTCAAACAGGGTTGGGTATTGTTTAAAAAAATACCAGTATCCTTAAAGTGATACTGTTACAACAGAGTACTTTATGTTACCTTTTTTTCTCCTACAGATGTGTAGTATAGCCATACTTTCCAATGTTTTAGTGACATCTCAGCACACTGAACCACCAACTCCGTCAAATACACTGTGCACAAATTCACCCCACCACAGACTGTGTTGTAGCTGCTTTGGCAGTAGGCCAATCACACGTCGCATTAAATAAAGAAAGGGAGATAGCTCGGGTTGATTGGTTGTTTTTCTAAGTCAGTTTGCTGCTTTCCCTTTCCCCGCTTTCTTTCTTTTCTCTCTTTCTAGGAATCCTGATTTCCCTTTTTTGGGGAAAGATATGAGCAGAATAAGCCGTCACTCACTCAGCTCCAGCTCAGTTTAGAGATAAATCCTAGTGCGGGGGTGGACTGAACCATTTTGCGCCTTCAAGGGGGGAAAGGGGCCTCAGAGATCTCTCACTATTTCTCTTTATTCAAAGTTCGTTCTTTGAACTTGAACTTGAATTTATTCAGCCTTTTCTTAATTTATTTATGGCATTAATATTAAGAAATACAAATTTGCAAACAAACCAAACATTTCATTCCAGGCTTTTTGAGGGCCCCCCTCACATTGGTGCCCTGGGTTATCAGTCCCACATTTCCCCCCACTATGACGTCCCTGCTTGGTTAATAACTTAAAGGTATCGAGAACAAATACCCAGCCCTAAAGTCAAAGAATAAAAGGGAAGCGTAAAAGAGGAGAGAACTCACTCTCAGGATGGACAGACATGAGTATGATGTCATATATAGAGTAGACTGAAACAATCGCAATATTCACATGATCAAAAAACAGAATGACAAAATCAGGTTAATAAAACTGCAAATATATAAAAAAAATATGAATCAGAGAAGACGATATTTACACTATGAACTGGTGCATAAAATGTCACCAGAGTGCAGGAAATTAAGTGTGTGACGCTCAAAATTTTCTGGCAGAGCACCCCCAAACGCCCTGTTTCATATGTGTCGCTGCAATGTTGAAATTTATTTCATTTATTTCTTTAACCAGAAAAAACTTTTGAGATGGGTTAGGGTTAGGGCAGCAACATAAAGTTACAGACAACGTAGAACAAAAATACAGAAAAAAAATGCACAGCCCTAAAACAACAATATAAAACACAAAATAAGATTACTACGAAGAAAAAACAAAAAGTATGATAGTATATGTGTCAGAAGTGAACCATGCAAATGTAAAAATGGCAACTACACATGATTACAAAGACCAGCTAAGACACACGGTGACACTGGCTTATGGAAGATTGTGTACAAAAAAAACCTCCACCACATAACATTGCACCTGGACTATTAACCTCTGGACAGAATTTGACTTAAGCACAGACTCAAGACTCATCGACACCATTAACACAGAGGCGGAAGAGTCAAGAGATATTCCCTTTTTACCTCTCTGATTCTCTGAAACATACTGAGAACCTGAGGTGGGTCAAGTGAGGGTAATGAGCTGGAGACCAGCAGCTGACCAGTTAATCCAATACAGGTTGTTGAGAATATGAAGGGCCCTTACCTTACTGTAATCCACATTATGTAGTTAGGGTAGGCTCGGTTACATAATCGCCCTAAGAGCCTCCAGATGGGCACCTGCCAGAAGTCGACATGACATGATGAGTGGACGAGGGGGAACAATGAAATGGACTCGACTCCATAATCAAAGCAAACTTCAGCGACATTACAGCTCCATTAGAGTCCTTTACAGTGCTTTTAAATAATCAGCCCTTGTCAAGCTTGTGGTCAGCTCAAGGCGGGCTGAGAAGCTGATGGAAATGTCACAGATATTCGTCCACTAGGGGGCAGTGCAGCCAAGTTATTAGGGTATGTAAAGCAGCTGTAAGAGGCTGTGATTGTGCAGTGTTTCTCTGTGTTTAGTCTCAATTTGTACATAAAATGATCCAAAATTAGCTCTAATGAAATCCTGCCTGCCCGAATGCCTTCCTGTGCATATATGTTTCCCAGCACTTCCTCCCCAGTGGGACCGAGGATATCCAGATAAGTGAAAACCATTTAAAGACCACTGACTCTCTGAGGAGCTCGGCAGCACGACCCAGTAGCTCTAAGTGACATTTCTATGGTTACG